TAGCCAAAGTTTTAAGCAGCTGAAGAGTAGCAAAAGTAGAGCTAAAAAGCAAAGAGCTAGATAAATGTATAAAAGCTAAGCTAAAAGTAGCAAAAGACTAGCTGCAAGCTAAAGCCACAAGAGTAGCCAAAACCTAAAAAGCAAAGGACTAGAAAACAGTAACAAAAGCTAGTTATAAGCTAAAAGTAGTTAAAAGTAGCAAAGGCTAGCTAAAATCTAAAAGTACCAACGTGCTAGTTAAAGCAATAAAAGGTTAGCAAAAGCTGAAAGTGGAAAAAGGTTAGCTAAATGCTAAAATACCAACAAGTGAGCTAAAATGTTTTTTTCTTATGCTGCAACAAAATGAGTTAAAACTTAAATTAAAAAAAACTTTTCAGGTACAAAGGTGTAGTTTAAGCAGCTTCAAGGTCAGTTCTGTTGACAGTGATCTGAATAACGTGGTTCTGATCGGAGCGAAACATCTGGTGACGACCATCGTGGTGCCGTAACGCTTCGTGATGACTTCGTCAACAGAGAAGTTCACCAATTAACCTGCGAAACGAGCGGCCTCGCTCCGCCGGCTGTCCTGATGCTGCAGGATCACTCTGAAGCATCTCTACAGCAGAACCATCGCTCTTCAGCTTCCAAACAGAAATGATGAGCACAGACACACACTCGTCCTTCCACCCACTCTCACTCCAAACCAGACGCTGCACAAAGAGCTGCTCTCGTCAAAACCACGACGCAGATCTTTTAAAATCCTGGTGACCAAACCATTTTTATTTCTGTCCAAGAAAAACACAACTCCCTCTTTTACTGCTTGTCCTCTGTCAGGTTGCAGAGGACAAGCAGGCCCAGGAGAGAATCCCAGACCTCCTCTCCCCACACTACAGCACCTCCTGGAGACCCCAAGGTGTTCCCAGACCAGAGAGGAGAAATAATTCCTCCAGAGAGTTCTGCATCTGCTCCAGGGTCTCTTCCCAGTGGGACATTCCCAGAAAACCTCCAAACGGAGGTGTCCAGGAGGCAATCCTGATCAGATGAAGCTTTGATGCAGAGGAGCTTCGGCTCTACTCAAAGATCCCCCCAGATGATGGAGCTCCTCACCCTCTCTCCAAGGCTGAGCCCGGTCACCCTACGAGCTGCTTGGACCCAAGATCTGGCTCTTTGGGTTCTGATCCACACCTCATGACCACAGGTGAGGGTTGGAGCATAGACGGACCAGTAAATCCAGAGGTTTGCCGTTCAACTCAGCTCTTTCTTCACAACGGCTGACCGAAGCAACACCCTCATTACCGAGGACGAGGCCCACTCCAATCTACCATCACTCAGACTTTGTTGTGGTGAAGAGCGAGCCGAGTAGAGCCGCTGCTCCTCCACGTCCACGAGGAGGTTCAGACATCTGGTCAGGATGACCCCTGCTTCCCTAGGGAGAAGTTCTGGACATGTCCAACAGGATACAGACCTCAAGGAAGACCCAGGACCTGCTGGAGAGACCGTCTCTCAGCTAGTCTGAGAACACCTTGGAGTCCTAGAACAGCTGGAATCCAGCTCATAACCCGGCAAACAGAAAACGGGCCGACGTGTCCGGTACTCCTCTGAGCTGAGACGGCGCTCCGCTAACAGAATCAAAACGTGACGAGGAGCTCGAACTAACGAGACCACTCACAGAAACCACAGCTCAACAAAATAAGAGCCTTTAACGGGAGCAGGAGGGCGACTGTGAAACACCGCGGGCGAACCCATAAAGCTGCCTGACTGCAGCGGAAGACGTCTGCTCTCGTGTCGACGGGAGAAAAGACGCTGAGCCAATTAAAAAACCATCAGCGGAGCTGCAGGAGGACGAGCGGCAGAAAGTAAAAAGGAACGATTTAAACTTCGTAAAGGCAGCGTGCCGCCGTCGACTTCCTGACGATCCCGTCTGAGCCCCGTTTATATTTGTGTTTTTAAAAATGGTTTGAAATGAAACATCCACAGGACTGAACAGGAGTTTAACAAGAGTACGGCACATCAAACACCCATCGAGAAACTATTATACAGAAATCTATAGCAACGACTATTCAAGACAAAAATGTCCATGTTTTGACAGTCGTATAATTAAAAATAAATTAAAAAGAGACGCCTCACATAGAAAAAAAACAATAACATTTAAATTAGACATTTAAAAAGTGCAACTTCAATATCAGCACGATGGTTAAGTGGTTAGCACTGTTGCATTACAACAAGGATGACCTGGGTTCAATCTCCGGTTTGGACCTGAGGTCTTTCTGTGTGGAGTTTGCATGTTCTCTCCGTGCATGCGTGGGTTTTCTCCGTGTCCTCCGGTTTCTTCCCACGGTCATAAAACAAGTCTGTTCGGCTGCACCAGACCTCCTTTGCAAAAGAGATCTGTGACCTCAGTGGATTTGATAGTTAAATCAAGGAGGTATGAACGTTGGGTCATCACCAGTTAGTTTTTATGTTTCTACACCGTTCAGTAAACGCGTTGAAGAAGATGAAGGCCTGATGACAAACCAGTGGAGGTATGAAAAGTGAGAAAATGTGTGACGAACGGAGAAGAAGTGTGCTGGTGGACATTTTTAAGAACAAGGGTGATGCACAGAGTTGTAGGAACTACAGAGGAATTAAGTTGATGAGCCACACAATGAAGATCTGGGTTAAAGTTATGGACGTAAGACTTCGACTCGAGGCGACCGTGAGCAGCAGTATGGTTTCATGCCAAGAAAGAGCACCACAGATCCATCTTTGTTTTGAGGATGCTGACGAAGAAGAACGGAGAAGGTCAGAAAGAACTCCATTGTGTCTGTGGATTTAGAAAACGCATCTGACAGGAGGACATGTTAGACAGGTATAGGACGTGTATGAAGACAGCAGGACAGTGGTGAGATGTGCTGTAGGAGCTTCAGCTTCAGGAGCAGCTTGAAGGTAGAGGTGGGGGTGCATCAAGGATCAGCTCTGAGCCCCTTCTTGTTTGCTCTGGTGATGGACCGACTAACAGACGAGGTCAGGCAGGAATCTCTGTGGACTATGACGTGAGTACATGTGTGTGAATGAGAGGGAGGTCGTTGGAACAGTGAGTCTACAAGGAGCAGAGGTCACAAAGGTGCAGGAATTCAAGTACTTGGGGGTCCACAGTCCAGGAAAACAGGAAGTGAGGAAAAGAGGTGAAAAAACATTGACAGTTGGAGAAAAAAATATATAATCTATGATGTTTTTAAACACATGGATGCTCCTCCACAGCTCGCTGGGCCTCATCCATCAGTATTATTTCTCTAAAAGGATCAATATCCGACTCAGAGCTCTGACCCACTTCTTCATCCAGTCCCCCTTCAGCCAAACGAGAACAAATGGATCCAGGTGAAAGACACGGAGGCAGCAGAAACCATCACACTACTCTCATTACCAGAATAAAACCACAGAAGAAGAGTGGAGTCCTGGGCTAACCCCACAGAGTGCCCTGATGGTTCTGGATATTCACAGCAAAGTTTGGATCAAAACCCCGTTTCTAATAAACTCCCTTTGAGGCTCAAACTTTAAACCTCCGTGAAGACACCAACCTAACGATAAATCGGCGGGAAAAGAAGTCGCCAAAGCCGCGGCTGCCTCAACCTCCAGTATAGATCAATAACAAAAAATAAAAGTTGAAAACCTGC